CTGAAACCGGAGGAAAGGCAGAGGAAGTTGGAAAGGATGGCAGAGAAGCAGATTCCAGAAAAGTGGAGTGGAGGCTGGTGGTCCCCCTTCCCTGCTCCCAATTCCCTGCTGGGGCTGCAGCAGCTCTGCTCACTCCAGCTCCCTCCCTCGGCTCCTGTTTACAGTTTGCCTGTCTTGGGCTCAGATCTGAGCTCTTCTCTTCTGCTCCCCCTCCCTCCTTCACAGCCTTATTCAGTCGTGTTTTGCCACTTGTTTTCCTTAATCTCCACATTTCCTGTTCTCCCCGAATCTGCACAAGCACACCTCCTGGCCTCTAGGCCACCTCTCACCCTGCCAGTGCAGGTGTCCTGCTCCCTCTGTCCTGCTCACCTTGCCCGCTTTGTCCCCACTCTCTTGTCTGGATGCTCTTTCTGAGCCATGTTTCCTTCCAGAATCTGTGCTCAGAGCCCCACATGTCCTCTCATTCTCTAATCAGTTTTAACTTGGGTTCTGCTTTGGCCTGAAGATTTCAATTAGGACCGAGTGTAATGGGCAGGTTTCCTGTATTCGCTCTTGTCTGATCTGATCTGAGTGATTCAGGAACTCCTTATTGAAGCCCAAGGTTTTATACAGGCTGGAATTTAAACTGGGCTGGAACACTTGGCTTCATGTTCTGAGTTTGAGTGAAGAGTCTGGGGTCTCAGAGTTGCTTAGGAAATAATATCTGAATCCCAGAATCACTCCGAGAGGTTTGCTGTTCACCAGGGAAGACAGATTAGGAAGCAATGAAAGTGAACATGGATGGGCCTGATGTTTGGGGAGATGCTCATCTCTGGGTATGTGTGTATGGGTGGGGGTGGGGTCTGGGAGATTCCAGATAGCTCAAAGAAGAGGTAAGAGTCATTTCTCTGCTTCTAAGGCAGATATGTCAGAGGGCCCTCATGGGAGGGGTGGGGAGTCTACTTTCAAAGAGACTGCAGATTGCACATTTCACTTCCTTTCTGGGATCATAGTTTAAAAGCCATGAATACTCTCTGAGCAGTCGCGTCTCATCTTCCCTGTAATACACTGATTTTAGAGGAGGGGACTGTGGTGAGGAGGGAGGGGAAGGGGAATCCCCTGGCCTGGGGCCTGCCATAGAGCTCCCTCTGTGGTTGCTATGGAAACAACCATACTAGGACAAAACAGAGGCATGTCGCTTGGCAACAGAGCCCAAGATTCATCACACACACTGTGCGTACACATCAGGGAAACTCCTGGGTTGGGAGGGGGAGCAAAACTTCTGGGGAAGCTGGGGTATCCCAGTGATGATGAGTCCTAGGACTCACTCAGCTTTGCCAGAGAATCTGCAGGACCTCGTTGTTGGTGTCTGGTACCTCTGAAAGGTGATGGAGTACCAGCAGGAGGGCTGAAGTCCTTCTGGATTCCCGGATAGCCTTTATTTCGGCAGAGGAATCTGAACCTTCAAAAAGATACAGATTTTTCTTGCAAAATTGAGACTGTCAGGGGGAATCCTTTTATAACTTAAAAAAATAGTGTGTGTATCTGTCAGTATATGTATGTTGGTGGGAGGAGAGAGGTGTCAGTGTAAAATACGTGGCAGAATGGATAATATCCCATTTTCCCAAAGCATAAGACCTGCAAGGAGCTCAGAAGACATTTTCTTCAGGGCCAAGCACCTTGAGGCAGGTGTTCCATCCTGTTGAGTTCTTTATTCCCTGAACCACCACTACCACCACCACCATAGGCCCTTGGCCTGTCACCGGACACACAATAAATATTTGTGCGGCTGTAGGAGAGGCCTGTAAGTGGGGGAATTGTTCCCTGGCTGAGAGGAAAGCGGAATGTTGGGGTTTAGGATGCTGTTGTGAAAAAGACCAGGGCTTTGGCGCCAGTTATCCCTGTAGTTCATTCATTCATTCATTTCACAAAGTTCTCCAGCCACAGCTCTAGGCGCAGGGCACAAAACCAAGACCAGGGAAATCCCTGTCTTCATGGGGCCTAGATGCCAGTGGGAGGTTTGACTCCTGCTTCTGAGTGCTGTGTGCCTTTAGGTAAATCACTAACCCTGTCTGAGACCGTGCCCTCCTGGAGCACATGAAGATTAGATGATAGCGCCTGCTGCAGCAGGAGACACAATCGCCATTAAGATAGCTTTGGGGGGTGAGGGATAGGGGGCTACAGCAATTACACCCCTGAAAACTGTTGAATATATTTTCTCCCCTTGGGCCAAGGAAGCTGACCTAGGAAAGTCCAGCTCCTTTTTCAGCAGGTGGGGACGGGATTGTGGTTTTTTTTTTTTTTTTTTAATGGGGCAAGGGTCTGGGTGACTCCTTCTCTATGCTCCTAGCTTGAGTGTGCAGGAAACAGTCCTCAGGACCACCGCCAACCAGGCATTTTGACACTCCTACCTCTGAATGAAGTATCCGGACAGTAATCCCTGCTCTATAGTTGCTCCCAAACCAGCCTCTCCTGCCTTCTTCTTTGTTGACCAAGAGGGTGGCCAGAACAAACAATGGAGCAGATAAGTTGGCCCTGAGCCCAGGACACTAGCCTCTGCTCTTTCACTCCTGGGGGGCCGATGAGTCCATGCTCCAGGGAGGATCCAGCATCCACACCCTCCCCTGTTGGTCCTTTCCTGTGCCAGTCCCTCCCTCCAAACTCCTCTCTGCAGATCCCCTGCATCTCTGTGGGTATATCATCAGAAAACCTCTGTGTAAATCCACTCCCGTTTAAGTATGTTCCGGAAAAACTTGCACTTTCAAGGAACTCTGGTGATTCATAAAGTTAAAAATCCTTTGGTCAACTGTTAACAGTGGTTACCTTTGGGGAGAGGGACTGGGTGAGGGAGGAGGGTCACATTTACCTTTTGTTGTTCTACCTTTCTGTATTGTTTACATTCTTCACCAGATGGAGGCATTGGTTTTACTTCAAAAATGTCAACAAGGATTACCTGACTTGCAGCATGACGGGCCACTCTAGTTTCTCTGTATTCTTCTTCTTCTTCTTCTTCTTCTTCTTCTTCTTCTTCTTCTTCTTCTTCTTCTTCTTCTTCTTTTTTTGGTTAGTTTCTCTGTATTCTTGCTCCATTTGTCAAAAAGCTGAGAAAAATTTTACTGAAAATGAAATAAGAATTAAAAGCCACTAGTAAAGGAAACAATTAGTTCTTAGCACTTATGTTTTTTTTTAATTTTTTTATTTATTTATGATAGTCACAGAAAGAGAAAGAGAGAGAGGCAGAGATATAGGCAGAGGGAGAAGCAGGCTCCATGCACCGGGAGCCTGATGTGGGATTTGATCCCAGGTCTCCAGGATCATGCCCTGGGCCAAAGGCAGGTGCCAAACCGCTGCGCCACCCAGGGATCCCAGCTCTTGTGTTTTAAAAGCACCACAACGTTGAAAAGTTTAGATTTTTCCCCCTTAAATAAAGTAGGTTCTAGAAACAAAATGGAGGAGGTGCTTCTTTCAAAAGCCTGGGCTCGTGACTGTGTGTGGTGGGACTGCCTCTGCCCTGGGTTTGAGTCCCTATCTGTGTGCCTGTATGTCTGTGTGTTTGAGTGAGTGTGTGGGTGGGTGGGGTGGGGTCTGGGAGAGAACAGACTTGTACCCAGGAGCAGGAGCAAGTGAGAGACAGAGAGACATGGAGAGACATAGAGAGACAGAATGCTGATGCCCAAGCTCTGCTTTGTCTGTCTCTGCATGTCTATGCCTGTCTGAATGTCTACACATGTATCTCCACCTTTATGCATCCACTGTATGAGTCTCCACACAGCTAGGGCTCCTTTGCCGTGTCTTCCCTCCCCCATGCCTGTGCTGGTAACTGGACCTGGGACACAGCCCCCAGGGCTGGCAGCAGAATTGGCTGCTGGGTATTTTTAGCCTGTAAACATGTTTGCCATTTCAGAGGACAGGGCCGCAGGTCTCAGCCCCAGCCCACTCATGATCTGCCACAAGGAGGGTGCTCCTGCCCAGAGCCAGGTCTTCTCAGGGTCCCAGCCTGGGGTCTTCCTTCCTCAGCATTTGGGAAGGAAGGAAAACCGCCTTGATATGGGTAGTGGCTGGCCACCTAGGAGGGAGGGTAAGAGGATTCATGGGGGAGAATTCATGGGGGGAGTGTGGGGGGGGGGCTGGGTGGCTAGAAGGGCCCCCGAACCCCATCATTAAGCGGTTAATAAAATCTCATGGAGTTAGAAGTGGCTGTGGGAAATGGCAGTAAATTTGGAAGCAGCGTCCTTGCAAGTGGGGAGGTGGGGGAAGGGCTCAGATAAGAAATGGGGAGGTAGAGGCAAGGCTGGAGCTCCAGCTTCCCTCGGGTGGAGCCCGCAGAGGAAGATGGGTGGCGGGCGCTGCTCCTCCAAGGGCTGCCGGCCTGACTCCCCTGTCGCCGCGGTGGCCGGAGCAGCACCTAGTGCGTGGGGCACTGGTCACTCCACGTGGGCACCCTGACTCCAGGGGTGGGGCCAGCGTCTTCAGACCTTTTGTGGGGGGGGGGGGCGGGGGGTCAGAAAGCCGGGTTGGGGGAGAAATGGGCCCCGCTGCATGGAGCTTGGGAACCAAGTGAGACTGGGGCCTGGGATTTGAAGTGTAGACGCCTGGGTTGAGAGAAAACTCAAAGATCCGCGTCCGGCTGGAGGTTGCGTCGGAATCACCCCCCCCCCCCCTCCAGCCGCTTTCTGAACCTCTGATCCTTCGGGCAAAATGAGCTGATCTGCAGCTTCCAGCTGGGAGGACGATCCTTGGGGAGCTCCAAGGAGTATTCTGGTGCAGGCGACCACACGCTGCAAACGTTGCGGGGGTGGATCCCGGCGCGGGCCAGGGCAGGGGGCACTGGAGGGGGCGGGGTAAGGCTGCTCCCTCGTCCCCGCGACCCCCCGTGGCCCTCCCCCCAGCAGCGCGCGCCCGGGGCCGGGTCGGGTCGGCCCCGCTCGCTGGTCCCAGCCCCACTCCGGCCCCGCCCGGCCCCGCCCTCTCCCCACGGCTCCGGGCAGACCCGCCCGCCGGAGCCGGAGTTACAAGAGCCGCCTCCGCGCGCGAGGGCCGGGCCACTCGGAGCAGCTCCGCCGGGGGGACTGCACCGCCCGCCCTGCCGGACCCGCCCCGACCGGGGCTCGCCGCCTGCAGTAGCCGCAGCACCGCGACCTGGGGCCCCGCGCGGGCTGTGGCCGTGCCCCGGGGCTGAGCGCGCAGGTAGGGGCGCCGGGCGCACCGCGGGGACGCGGGGACGGGGCTCCGCGAACCGGTGAGGGGAGGTGGGCTGTAGGGATGGGCGAGGCGCTCGGGCCGGGCGCTCGGCTCCTGTTCAGGCCGCGTGGAGCAGCTGGGCAGCCCCGGGCCGCCCGGGGAGGCGACGCGTCGCGCCCTGGGAGCCAAGCTCTGCCTCCGGAGTTGGGGCGCGAGTTGGGCAAAGTTGGAAAAATCGCTCCGGAGCGTGTTTTGCTCCAGTCCTTATTTCTCTCGAGGGCTGCTTGTTGGTTGGGGTGCCCCGTTCCTGGCCTGGGGGACCCTGGCGGGCTCTGCCCCATCCCCACCTTCTCCTTGGGGCGGTGGCTCAGCGCGCCGCTCCCGCTCCTATTCCGTGTTTACTGGAGAAGTTTCCGATGTCGTCGCCGAGGCCCCTCCCGGAGTCCCCGCACCCCCGCGCCCCCTCCGCGGTCCTTCCCCGCTCCCCACACCTCCGTCTCCAGCTGTGCGTCCGGAGTCCTCCCGGTCCCACCCAGTCCTGTACCACCGGCCTGTGCCTTTCTCAGCCCGCGTCCAGCTGCCCCGCCCTAGGCTCGCCGCTCCGCGGTCCCCGCTCCAGAAGCCTCCCTCCGTCCTGCCCTAACTTTGCAGCGCGCCTCAGGGCGGGCCGGGTGGGAGAAGGGGCGGGGGGGCGTAATTAGGGAGATTCCAGCGCTGGGGTGGGCGGGGACGGGGGTGCTGTGCTGGGCCCGGCCCTCGGCCCCACCCCTTCCCCGTCGGGGGCGGCGCGTTCTCCCACCCCGCTCCCAAACCCGTCCGGGCGGGATGGCCCCCGCCCCAGCGCCTGGCACGGCGCCAGCAGCCTGAGGAATGTGGTGGTTGGAGCCGCTGACTAATTCAAACCAGAACTCGGGGAGGAGTGGTGAGGGGCAAAGGGGAGGGGGAGGAAGGGGCTGCGTGGGGAGGTGGGGGAGGATTCGGCTCCGCGTGGGAGGAGGGCTCACCGCGCACTCCTGGACCCTCCGCTGCAGCCTGCGCTCCGGCAGAGGGGGGCGAGGTCTTGCCCCGTTGGAAAGGCGGAGTGCTTAGGGTGTGTTCGCAGGGCCGTGTTATGTAAGGCTTTCCCAGGCGGGGAGAGGGTGTGCAGCGTGTGAGGGCCTGGCCCTCCCTCCCCTGGCGGGCCTGGGCGCCCCCTGCCGTGCCAGGGCCGGGAATCTGGGGGCGCAGCCCTGGGCGGCGCCGGCCGGGAGGGACACGTGGGGCTGAGCGGCCCGGGCTGTGGCCCCCTTGCGTGGGAGGGGAGCCGAGTGGGCAGACGGGGCGACCCACGGGGCTCAGCTGGGCGCCTGCACCAGGTGGCGGACGGCTCTGGCGCCTTGGCACAATGTGGCCACAGAGAATTGTGTGCGTGTAGTGTGTGTGCCCTTGAGCCTTTTACTGGGTGTGGCTGCAGAGAGGTGGTGGTGAGTGTCCTGGCTCGCCGTGGCTGCCGAGAGCCCTGCTCTGTGGAGTGGACTTATGGAAAGGCGGGGTGGGATCCTCCCCGGTCAGTGGGGTCCTTTAGAGAGAGACCTGGAGTTTCGGAGAAAAAAAAAAAAAAAGACTGGTATTTACTTCTGTGTCCCCAGCACAGCAGTGAGCTCCAGTAATTGGTTTTGAAACAGTTTCCTCGGTGAGAATCCAGCCTCCCATATGCGGGAATCACCCGCCCTTCCTTGCACAGCCCAGTGTTGGTAGGTAGGGGCTGGGCTGATTTTATGGGACGTAGTGACAGCGTGGGGGCTGTTGTGATAGGTGAAGCCACGGGAAGGGAGGAGGAAGAGACAGAAGGTGTTTTGGAAGGCATTTTCAGGCCTTGATGCCTATGCTGCGTCTAAAGTAGGGGAACAGATTCTGCTTCCTTTTCCCTCTCTTCCTCTGCCCCAGAAGGAAAATCCCTGGGGCTGGGTGTGGCACTCACTTCCTTTCCAAAGCTGAAAGGGGAAGCTTCCTTCTCCTGGGCCCAAAGGGATGATGGGCTTTGGCCAGCGCACAGTAGGTAGAGAGTGCAGAGTGGGGAGCTGAAGGGCACCCCCGGCTTGGGGGGTACCTCCTTGCTCTGAGCTGTGAGCTGTGGTAGGAAAGAGGTGGGGTAGGGCAGGGAGGGAGAGGACCTAGGACCCTCAGAGCTGGGCTAGCATAGGACACAGGGTCTCGTCTGAAAGGGAGGGTGTGTGAGCCCCTCTCTCAAGCCTTGTCCTCAAGAGAGTATATATGCCGGGATGTTGGTCATCAAACAGTGACACATAGGGAGCCAGAGAAGTCATGCGGGGGCTTCATGCTGCTGATCTGGGACCCTTAGCAGTGATTCAGGGGTGCCAACCCGAACCCACAGAGTTGGGTTCAGGGCGCCAGACTGGGTTCAGGGCACTGGTCCAGGGTTCCGGGTGGGCCACGAGAGAGTCAACCACGGAAGACTTGTGGAGGAAGAGGGCCAGCAGCAGAACAGGGGCAGGGAATGGGCTGGAGGATCTCCTGGGTCATCCAAGTCCCAGGGAGGCCGTGGGTGGAGGTGCCCAGGCATTACCAGGCTAGATTCTTTGGCTCAACTTGGAATTGGCTGGCTGGCCCTGGTGGAGCACGCTACCCAGAGCTTGAGGAGCTGGTTTGAGAGGTTGGGGCAAATCTGTGGGGGTGGAGGGGTGTGTGGGGCTCTGGGGTGTGGTCACTGCCTTCCTCAGAACTTGGGAACTGCCTGGAGACAGATGAAGGCATACCAGAAGAGCTGGTCCTCCTCTGGATGGGACCACTCCCACTGCTGGCTCTTCCCTGCTCCCCACTACTCCCCAACACCCCCAGATTTGTCTCCCTGGAGCTGGCCTGACCCTCTGCATGTGCTCAAAGTGAGGAAGGGAGGTGGCTGCTGGAGAAGGTTTACAATGGGCGGATTTCAGTAGATGGTGGCTGTGGCCAATGTCCCAGGCCTTTTGCTCTCTCTTTGTCCCCCGTGGGCTTTATCCAGGCTCCCGGCTCCCAAGGGCTGGCATATCCCTGGTCTCTGGCCACCCCAGCGGGCTCCCAGGCCTTCCAGAACAAACTCAGCTTCCTCCGTGTGTGTGTGGGGGGGGGGGCGGGCGGGGGGTGGTGGCTGCTCAGCAGGAACGCGTATGTGCGAAGGAGTTTTGATAGAGTCCCTCTTCTTCACCCCTGGCCTAGTTCCCACCAGGGGGGCTCCTGGGCTGTTGTAGCTGGAGGTGTGGTGCCCAGGCATCGTCGTTGGTGTTTGTGGCCTCATGTGCCTTTGGCCACTCGTGTCACAGCGGTGAGGAGTGTGTTATATTACTGGTGAGAGGCCGTCCCTCTGGCTGTGTATGGTGGTCCTGGGTATGTCCCTCTGCTTGCGTCTGGGGCTTAAAGGGCAGGGGATGGCAGTGGGACTCTGCCCCGGTGATGGAGCTCTGATGGAGCCTGAAGGTCAGGTCTAAAGTCACTTTCTCCATCCTGGTTGGGTTCTGGGCCCTGGAATTTGTCTTCAAAGGCCCTTGGGAGGGTGAGGATAGCTCTGGGAACGAAGCCCTGGCTGAGTGATGCCGAGCAAGGCGCTGCACACGGCTGGTCAGGGAGGGGCATCCTGCCTTGTCCCTGGGGGCCAGAGCGGAGGTTCTAGGGGAAGGGGAAATGCCTGGAGCTGATCCTGGCTTCGTGTCCTGGCTGGGCTGGGGGTGGCTCTTTGGCTGCTGGAGCTGTGGGACCTGGCTCTGAGCCCCTGCACTAGCGCTGCCCGGCCGCTGGGTGGAGAGGTCGCCTGCGGCTGGGGAGCCTGTGCACCCCTGGCAGCTCCCGGGCTGTCATATCCCGCTGCCCCGCCCGCCCGGGTGAGACCGAGCCACCCCTGCCCTGTGGAGAGTGCACCTCTGGTCCTTGGGTAAAGGCTCTCTCTTTCTGGGCTGTGTGGCCAGGGGTGGGGACTTGCCGCTGGGTAACGTGCTGCTGCCCCCAGGCTCCCATCACAAGTCACAAGGAGGAGGGGAGTCCCTCTCAGTCTGGGGAGGAAGAGGGAATTTCCCTCCCCACTGGAAGTGAGAACTTGGAGCTCACTGGGGGTGGGGGGATGGTGTGAGGAAGTTGTGTGTAGGAGAGCCAGGGGAGAGAGGCAGAGGAAGATATAAAGCCTGCGGGGTAGGAGTGGGGCTGCCCTGAAAGTGGAGGTACAGAAAACTCAGGCGTGATGGTGAGGGGCCCTTGCTGGGGCTGCGGGAGGCGGAGAGGGGGGCAGAGAGGAGAGGGCTGGAGTGATAGAGCTGGAGGGCCTTTCTCCTGGTGGGAGTTGTGAGCTAGGCCAGTGGCCTGGATAGCAAGGGAGCAGGAAGATAGGCCTGGGCACCAGGTAGAGGGAGATGCAGACTTGGGGCAGCAGGCTAGCAGGCATGGGCGCCCTCCAGAATGGGGGGGGGGCTGGGGCTGCCCAGACAGGTGCTGTTGTGAGTGGGCGGAGGCTGGGAGGAGTGGGGGACGGGGCTGATGAGCGCATGTGTGTGCACGCGGTGTGTGTGTGTCCTTGTGTGTCTTTCTGGGAATGTCTCTGCAGCGCCCATGTGGCCTGTGTCTTGCATTGTGTTAGTCACGTTCTCCCTGATAACCCCACCCTCCCCCAACACATACAACATGCCCCCTTGGGCTGTAAGTCCCAGGATGAGCTGAGTAAAAGTTCCTGATGCCAGCTTAGACCCTTCAGATTACCTTGCTGTTCTCCCCTAGTTAGACTAGGGCGTGCTGTTTTCCAGACAGAGGCCTGGCAGCTGCATCCATGGAGGTTCGTTCGGAGCAGGCTGAGGCCCTGGAAGCGATGCCACCCCTGTTGTTTTCCTTGTTCCCCTGGGACGTGGGCCTGCCTGTTATGGCTATTGCCCTTTCCCAGTGAGTGGAAGCATCTGCCTTACCCTTGCTGGTGCTTTTCTCTAGAGGGGGTCTCGTGTCCCTGCAAGCCCCAGAAGGGATGACTTTCTTGGCCTTCACTTGATGGGCCC